ATGAGATTATGCCGAGGTCTTACCTGTTTGAACAATGTTTTTATATTTCATCCTAAACTGCTGCCAAGTGCGCTTCTCCCCCGCAGGATTGCACCTAAATGAAATAAATTAATAGGCTACCATTCAAGCAGTTTTCCCCTGTAATATTATTGTGCTTGCAAAGGACTACTTACCTAAACTTACGCATTGACCCGAGCAGCAATGTTCTCCCACGCCGTCTCCCTCTCTTTTGCAGCTGCAGCGGTGTTGCACTTCTTTTTGAAAACGTGTGCAAACTCGCCGTATGAGCACATTAAGATTTCTAATTCTAGTGGGGTGAAAAACGCAGCCCTCCTCTTCCCCGTTGCCATGGTGACTCGTCGAATCGGGGCTCCATTGATGCTGGCTTTTTATAGTTGTGGTGCACACACTTAACTCCAGGTGAAACTACTCCGAGTTGATTAAACTGATCCAAATCAGCTGTTCTGGAACCGGAAACTCAGAGTTTCCTATCTCAGAGTAGATCAACTCAGAGTTCAGGATTAGACTCAGAGTTTGTTGAACCTGCTTTGTGAAATGGACCCCTGAACATAAAAACACAAGAAAATAGGGTCCTGGTTGAAAAATACTTTATACTATGCTAAAATACTAAATTTTCCATTAACTTTGATGTTATGAGGACATAGATTTTGTAGTAGTTTGCTTTTGGAACTCGGGCCTTATTCTGGATGAATTTATTTCCAATTGTTTTTTGTTTTTATGTATCTGTCTAACTCGTGACCAGGTTCCAGTGGAAAACAGAGAATTTTCCTTCAGAGTTGTCCATCACACCAGCTAAAGGCTATATCTGTCCAGGCATGGAGGTTCCTTTTGAAGTGACTTTTGCCCCTGTGGAACTGATTGCTGACATAAGATATGAGAACTTGTCTTGCTGTGTGGAGGGCTCCTCCTCAACCATCACTCTTACTGTAACAGGCTCCTGCATCGTGGCATCTACAAGCAAAGAGGTTTGATTGATGTACTTTTATATACAATGTTCACTTGTGAAGTTAAAAAAAAAATACACATTAAATCATGGGACATTTGCTCATTGGGGGGTTTATATCTGATGAACAGTGGGGTAAATGATGCATCTGTATGTGTTCTAGCAGCACTGCAGCTACAAGTCAAAATAAGGTAACTTACATATTTACATTACATTTGTCTTGAGTTATATATATCTCCCCATGGTTGTATTTTAGTATGATTACCATTATAATGTAAAGACATGTAGGTGATATCTATTATATGTAGTTAATATAACAAACTAAGAGTATATTCTTTTCTTTGATGGCGCAAAAGAAACAATAGCTGCCATGACAGGGTGACAAAGCAGTTAAAGAACATTTTCTTCAAACTAACTTGGCATAAACGGATAGTTCGGATCTTGTGAAGGGGGGTTGCATGAGGTTCTTATCCATGATCAGTGGGGCCATAGGCTGGAATTGAGCCTGCAGCCACTGCAGTAAGGACGTTACCTTCGTAGACGGGACGCCTGCCCTACATGCTACGCTACTGGGTGCCAGTCGCTACTCCTGTCTGCTTCTTCAAACTCTCTCTCGCTACCTCTTACAACCACATTTCAAAAATATAATTTCCATCTTAACTAACTTTTTTCCTAAAATAGTCACTACCAGCAACAGGGATGTTCTACTTTATCCAACCTTGATCTACAGTCTTCCATAAGACACTCAATGTAGTATCACATTATTCTTATGTTCTGTATCTCTGCAGTACCTGTTTTCATAGAAAGGTTTCTATATCAGGCATGCTGCCTCATGTACAGACAAACAATCTTCACTGACCAACCATATTAATAATCACATTTGATTTATATTACAACACAATGTAACTAAAAGGGTTTTACACTTAAAAAAATAGTAAATTTGTATTAGGATAATGATTTTGAGGCTTCTCCAGTGGTCATAAAAGCTAAAAGCTGCCTCGTCAACAGTTTAGCCTCTCATTGTAGGGGCTGTTAAAGGCCAGCATCAGATAATGTGAGTCATTGATTCAGCTCCGTTTTGGAACAGGAAGAATTGCTGACAGACTAAAGAGCAATGAAAATATGGAAAAGCTTTCAGTCGGTTTCAATTAGCTGATGAGTTACTAATGCCTGACAAAAGGCTTTAGAAAATGTGTATGTATGTTTTCTACTGGAATTAGAACAAGCTAAAGGTTATTAATACAGTAGGTCTTTTTGGTAATGCTTTCAGTGACAGATATCACTTTACTGTAACTGCCTTTGTACTACCTATTGCAGAACTCTTACCTCCTTCTGACTGCTTGTCTCTAGGTGGTGAATTTTGTTTGCCCAGTACGTGGCTCTCACACCCAGACCCTGCCCGTGTCCAACCCCACAAACCAGCACTGCAGCATCAAACCTGTCATAGAGGGCGAACAATGGAGTGCTGCGCCGTCTGTGATCCTTGAACCCCTCCAAAACAAAACATATAAGGTCACCTACCGACCGCTGTCCGTGACTGCTGATGGAAAGAAACACCTGGTAGAGGAGCACTAAAGTTTTAACACAATCTGTTATTTATTTGTAGATTATTTTGTGCAGTGCAATGTATTTTTTTATATGACAAAACAGACAGTGTAAGCAATAAAGTGTGATATTAACTTAATCTCAGACATTAACTTGTCACGTCTCTCCTTATTTCCTCAGGGATCAGTCTTTTTCTCCTTTCCTGATGGGACAGGAATGCTGTACTCTCTGCAGGGAACTGCTGAACCTCCCAAGGCAGAGGACACCATTGTGCACAAACTGCCTGCCAAGAGTCATCACACAGAGGTGCTCCCTGTGTACAACTGGCTCTCCAAGCAACAGCGGTAAAGCACATATCAACATACACATACACTCACACCTTTAAACCACCAGTACCTGAACCCATATCACCCAAATACAATAAGTTGTTTTTTCTCCACATGGGGTCAGCAGGAACAAGTTGAACACAACATTGACATATTACCTTTAAGTTGGTATGGCACACCTGTTAGCAAATAGTTGCTTATTTACACTTCCAGCAGTTACAGTGCAACATTAGTATTCATTTTCTGTCCACTTGATGAATGTAAGTCCTATATTCACTTCCTTTTAACTCTGTTTTTGGTCTCTACCAACTCCTGAGAGAAATATCTGTCTCCTTAGCTGCAAAATACTCTTATCTATGTGCACCAGCTAATCACTAACTACATCTCTCTGCCATTTTATGCTAGGCAGGTAGTGTAGTGAGTTTTTAAAGCTTTTTTTCTGAAAACAGCTTCTGCTATGGTTGAAACATGACACTATTAGAGCGGTGAGAGGGAACCAAAAGAGTAAATATTAAACAGCTAAACAATGATCTGAAACTTGATATAAAACTCTGTAGAGCCAACGGGAGTTGCAGGTGATAATTATCTATAATTTCATCATTTCAAGCTCCCTTTCACACTGTCATTTAATAGATTGTTATTATTGTTTTTTTGGGTTCACTACAGATATATATATAACACAAATCATGTTTACTTGAAATCACTGAAAACTTAAGTATACCAAAGTCAGGGGATGATAAATTAACTTTAAAAAAAAAACATAAAAAAACATATACTTTTTTTTGTATTAAAAAAAAATATATGTTTTTGTTTTACACAGTATGCAAATTAAAATAATAATAATCTTTTTTTTGTCAGATGACATTAATTACTTTACTAATGATGGTTTGAGAAGAAATAAACGCACTTTGCTATGATGGTTGTTTCTTATAGTAGTTAATTGTTGGGCCCCTAGGAACTCCAGTTGGTAGCCATTGCGTGTTAAATATGTTGGTATTACTATTCACTATTTATATCAACAATATAACCTCTTCATTGTACAAGTATAATTTCCATTTTTACGCAGACGACACTGTCCTTTATTCTTGCGTAGACTCTATTCATGATGCCATCCTTAATCTACAGCTATCGTTTAACCTCCTTCAAAAACACAGATATAATTTGGAACTGGTCCTAAACTGTTTAAAGACAAGATCAATCTTATTTTCAAATGCAAGAAATATTGACTATGGTAGTTTTGAAATTTGTTCTGCTAGTAACACCATAATAGAGAGAGTGCAATATTAAAAATATCTTGGCATTTGGGTTGATGAAAAACGTACTAAAGTCCGTTCTGACATATTGCAGTCAAAGTTGAGAGCAAAATTTGCCTCTCTTTTTCAAAATATATCTTGCTTTCCATTATTCACTACAAAAAGAAGTCGTTTTCCTCTCTGTATTGGATAGCAGAGATGTTATTTATGGGTGAGCGTCCAGTTCTACTCCCCAACATTTAGATGTAGTATATCACTCAGCCATATGATTCATCACTGGAGATAGTTACGGGAAACACCATTGTCTATTTTACCAAAAAACTGGCTTGCCTACTCTTTCAGTGAGGAAGGATCAGCATTTATTATTATTAATTTATATAGCTCTTTTATGAAAGCTCTCCCTCCATCTCCCAGCTATTCTTCCTTGGAGTATTGGCAGCCATTGTACCTGCTCACAGACATGGCTCACCCTGTGTGTGCCAAAAAATTCATACAGCGCTACAAAGATCAGCCTTTTCTTACTGTGCCCCACGTTCTTGGAATACGCTTCAAAAAAACCTTAAGCTAATTTCATTATTACCACTGAGAGAGTTTCAAGGTTTAATTGGTAACCTTAATGATGTAACTGTCATCATTTTTAGTATTTGTTTGTTTATTTGGCTTTACATTGAAAAACCCTTCTTCTTGTATTGCTATTTGTTTTAAGTTGTGTATGTTGTGTGTACCTCAGCAACATTGAAAATGAGGGTTCTCCCTCAATGTGTTTCCTGGCTGAGGCTTTAAATAAAATAAATGAAATGAAATGAAATGAGGATGAAGGTTAAAGGCCTGTATTCACCATGTAAGTGATTAAAGTGAAATATTTTGCATCACTTCATGTACACACCCAATGCTCCTTAAAAAATATGTTTTTAAAATTTCAATCATCAATGTAAAAAGTGAAATGGAGGAAATCTTATCCCTGTTATTTGCAAAACCTCTTGCTTTGTATCAAAAATGCAAAATGGGAACGCTGTGTATAACAGATGAAATGTAACAAGGAGAAATACACAAACCCTGTTAGGACAGTTGTACAGTAGAGTCATGAGTGTTTCTGTGTGCTCAGGTTCTGTGTGCTGATAGAGATCCTGAAGCCTGACAAGCCAGATGCTACAGTGTCCCTCAAGGGTCTCGAATACATTGATGTCCCTGCTTTGGCCAAGAGAGACTACAAGATGTCTTTCTTTACATACAGAGAGGGGCAGTTCAACACCAAGGTTTGATCACACACACATTCTGAATATGTTGTGAGACGAATATATATATTTGAATGTATTTCTGAGCCTTGTCGTCACATCACCTTTTAACCCTTCTCTTCAGGTGACATTTCGCAATGAAGTGTCGGGTGAGTACTTGTTCTACCTTGTTAACTTCGAGGCCACACCTCCCGGAGTCCTGTCCACCATAGGGCTGGTGACAGCTGTCCGTCAGATGGCCTCGGCCACCATAGAGGTGGAGAACCCCCTGACCACAGCTACCTGCCTCAGCACTGAGTGTAAATGCTCTGACATCAGTGCTCCATCTCAGCACACAGTGCCAGGAAAGTCCAAGGTGGGTGCTCGGTGCATCTACTCCTGCACTGAAAAAAACAGCTGTGTGCTCACTCACACTAGCTTTACATTTCTTTTCTATATGTGTGTGTGTCCTCTCTTTAGGGTTCTCTGAGATTTGAGTACCTGCCCCTGCGTACAGGTGAGACTACAGCGCGGCTGACTCTGTGTAGTAGTGATCTGGGCCACTTCCACTACGATCTGCTTCTCAGAGCTCTGCCCCCACCACCAGAGAAAACAGTCCACTTCAGCACTTCTCTGGGCAGCAGCCACTCTGTTCATGTTAAGTTCATCAATTACTCCCGCTGCAAAACTGAGTGCAAGGTAAAAAAAAAAAAAAAAAATTAAGCATGTCTTGCAATGACTTAAAAATTTAAGGTGCATGTTATGTTCTTGTGATACTGTATGTGCTGTTGTCTCTTGCCTTTTCCTTTTCTCCGCTAGTTTTGCTCTTACTAATGGATACGGGCATTTTTTGTTACAGTTTTACACATACATCAATTTACTACCTGTGAAAACAGTTGTATGATGTGTTGTGTGGCTCTGGAGGAGCTTTATCACGTAAGGCTGTCATTTTGTAGAGTATCATAAATCCCTTGTGGATGAGTAAGTGAATATTTCACCTGATGAGTTAAATTAATTGATTTGAAACAGTAATTAGTTGATGTTTGCCCGATGAATAGACTTGAGTATTATTAATAAATAGTGTTGTTTTTAGTTTACATTTAACAGTTGTGTTCTTATATTGGCACACTTGCCAGTTATACATTGGCATTGTCAGTTTTTGTTACAGTGTGACAGGGACAGAGCCCTGAATGTAATTGAGTAAATGTTCCTCTCTTGGCCTCATATTCAGTTCAGAGTATTGAAGACCACATTTACTTGGCATTGTTGGGGATCCCTGATTAACAATTAAAGCATCACAGATTATTATGGGATGGATTCCAATGTAGTAGGTTTGTCAGTTAAACATTCATTCTGTGAACTCTACTCCAGCATAGTGTAACAAAAATAGGTTTCAAGATTAGCAATACTGTTAACGCCAAATTCCTACTTATGTCATGTGACTTAAAAATAGTAGCACCAGACAGTTTTACCTCTTTTTAGGTGGCCTTTGATGTGTTATGGTGTCAGAATTGCATGTGGTAAAAATTCATTTTCACAGAGTATTTGCTCTTTATTGAGTCATAACTGTAAGAAAATAAGATTTATTTACATGTCAACACAAAAGGAGAATGTGCTCCTAGTTTGTTCATCCTTCATTCTTGTGTCAGTGATGTTCACAGCTACTGTATATACCAGACCGCAGAGCCCTTTAAATTCATAAAACAATAGTACTTTGTATTCTTGCATAACCGGACAACAGCTTCTGTGTACATGTAATATGCTATGAACTGTTTTTGCTGTCATCAATGTATTCTTCACACAGAAGACATGATGGTAGGTGACTAACTCAGGAGCTGAGAGCATCTTTAAATAACCCATTAATTTCTTAGATCTTCAGTGGGATGTTGGGCAGAGTCTGAACTCTCTGACATGTAATTTAGTTCCTTTCATCCTGTTTTCAGTCAGAAAAATGTACAGCAGATAAACTGTATAAACTGCAAAGTGATTGCAGAAAATGTGATGTGGGACTTGCATGCTGATATTTGCTTTATTTATTATGTAGCCTTTACATTGGAGGAAAAGTATAATGACAAATCAGATCTCACTTGTGACTCCAGAGTTGTGATGACTAAAATTTTAATTTTTCAATTTATGTTTGAGGAACACCTGTGTTATCTCAGTAACTTATTTGCTGTCATGTGAGCCCCTTCTTTCTGTCTCTCTCCTGCAGACTGATTGCCCGGACTTCATGGTGGATAAGAGTGTGGGTGTTTGTCCGGGTTTCCAGGTGGGATCAGAGGCCAGCGTGGAGGTTTGTTTTGAACCTCATCAGCTGGGGGAAGTGAGAGGCCAGCTCAGCCTGTCCTCAGGAACCGCTGACGAATACATCTTTCCCTTGCACGGGATCTGCCGCCCTCCCAAAGCCCAGGGCCCATTTAGCATCATGGCTGGTCACAACATGCCTATCCCCTTCAAGAATGTGTTCCTACAGACCACCTCTTTCTCCTTTCAGGTAAAGAAGTAATGCCCTGAGGCCAAGGGAACAACCAGAGTGAAGCGTGGAATAAAAGTTAAAAATGTGGTATTTTCGGCAGAGCATTGGTGTCACTGAAAATGAAAGCGATTAATAGCATTCCAATACAACCACTATGCAGAAAGCTAATGCATTTGGTGAAATCCAAGGAGACAATTTTCTGGCTAGCAGTTCTGGGTGCACTGCCAGCCAGCATGAAGCAAGCAGCTTTAAATTTAGCCTGGAACAGTCACAGTAAAGAGAGTGGTGCAGTCTGGCTTTTATACTCATGTTTAGACTGTGTCTTTTCACACCTTCAGCTTCCCTAACATACTTATGTTTGATTAATTTGCTTTACCTTATTATAAATCTGTAATTGATTTAACCTGAGCCTTATTTCCTCTGCTTCTAGGTGGACAACCCCTGTTTTACTGTCAAAGGAGTGGACACCATCCTCTCCAAGAAGACCAAGAACATCTTGGTATCTTTTGAGGCCCCTCCAGGAGGCTCCCCAGGGCCGTGGTTTGGAAAGCTGACAATCACCAGCCAGCGCTCAGAGGGCCACAGCAAACCTTGTTCCTGGATCCATTACCTGAAGGGCTACCGCCCCGAGTCATCTTAGACAGAGATATTTACACATGCAGGCAAACACAAAAGAACATGTGTTCAGTTAAATGTATTGACAAGTTATTTATTCAATGCCTGAACTCCAATGTTAATGTCAAAAGCCAAAATTGCCTGTGTGTATTTATGTGGTTTAAATAATTAGTTGTCATAAATGTGTTCATAAATATTTTAATACAGTCAACTGAATAAATCCTGCAGGAAAAAACCCTGGCCATGCCTGTCATTGCACACTTGTTTCCACATGGGGGCAATCATGTCAAGTAAGTTTACCAATTCTAGAGCTCCAGTACATGGGGAGGATACACACCTTACCTTTTTGCCTTTTGGTCATCTTCATAACCTGCATAGTAAAGTGTCAACTTTCCACCTGGGGTTAATTTGTCCAAACCACTCTGTGTGCTGTTAGACACATGACACATTACGGGCGAGACTAGCTGCTCAGCTGAAAGGGCAGAGTGGGAGGAGACGCTTATTACCAAAGGTTAGATTTGTCACATCACACACACACACGCACACGCATACATACACACCTGAACCTCTAATGAGGAGATGGGCTGACAGTTCAAAAGACACTCCTCTTACTCCAAGAGAAAATCCTCTCATCCTCCCAGTGGGACAAAGTGAGCCAGACAAGACTGGTGGCACACGCGTCTTTAAAGGAAGGGAAATATAGCACTGACATTAAACAAAAGGCGAAACAAAGTGGGTGTAATCCCTTGTTTTACACCCCTCAGCTTGCTTCTGGAGCCCAAGAGGAGTGATGCTGCAGTACTCCAGTTAGAGCTGAATGGTCTCAAGCTTTATTACATAACGGATGGATGTTACCTGGCTGCTCACAACACCCAAAGATAATAAAACAACAACCAACATATCCTGTATTATTACATTGTAGAAGGACAAAATAAAGGCAACACACTGTACCCCAGAGGAACATGAATTATTTATAGTGTTTTAATACAATATGAGAAGCAGTAGATGCAACAAAGTCACTATAAACTCTCCAAACCTTTACCATATCGGCCACCATGAGAATATAATGACCAGTTTTCGTTAGGCAGATGATATTAGGGCTATGTGGGATATGTAGGATGGGTGGGTGTGTTTTGGGGTGGGTGCTGTGATGTAACAGGGGAGGTGGGGGGTGGGGGCTTCTCTCTCTCCCCCCATAGAGCGCAGCATGAGCGCTCCGCAGCAAAAGGATGTGTGAGCAGGCAGCGCGCTACTGTAGGGACGGAGTCCACAAACTGCTTAACAAAGAACAAGCCAAACTTCGTGCCCAAGAAAGCCGCGAGCAGCCGAAACCCGTAGCCGGTCAGGACAGCGAGTCCGCGACGGCAGCGCAGTCCGGAAACAGCGGCGCCCAGCCCGGTGGAATCGACGGGCTCGTCCGCTGGATCGTCACCAAAATGAGCGACAACAAGAACATCTCCAGCCGGGAGTACGCTTCCAGCAAGGAGGAGGTGGCCGTGGCTCAGGAGCAGTTCTTCGCCCCGGAACCGCGGAGAGGCATCTCCGTTATTTTGGATGTGAGTATAGAGAGCCACCAGGCAGCGGTCAGCCTGACAGGTTGGGTGGGAGGGTGTGCGGGATGAAGACATCCATTGAGCAGTGCGTACGGACCGGTGCAGTGCGCACTTACGCACAGAAACGATCCTACAGTTTACTGTTAAGGCTTGTAGCACGAGCTCGGCAGAGCAGGCAGGGGAGTTTCCTGGTTGATTGACACTTTGGCACGGCACGTGTCGGAGATCAAGCCTGTGATCACCTAGTTCCTATCGCTCTCCTTGTTGCCCCGTCCAGAAATACACCGTACATGTGTTTGTGACCAGTCCTCCCATAAGCTTGGCACAGTATGTACATCCTCTCTATATCAATACAGAAGTCATCATAAATTCAGCTCTGTGCAGTATGGCGTTACTTTTGGTGATGGTTTACTGTCAGTTCAAAGAAAGTCCGACCCGCACCACCGCACTTTGCCCCTCAGCTGCTACACCCAGAGTAAAAGCAGCATCACCAAGTCAGATCGTCTGTTAGGATGCTTAAGACGGTTTTATCACAACACTTTAATTATTAATGAAAATGTCTTACGGTCATATATTTTATTGATCCAGTTGTTACAGAATCCCGACATAATATTTAATTTCACGCAGAGCCCAGCGGATAAACATGTTCAAAGATGCAGCCTTTATATATTGGAAGCGGCAATTACGCAGCGCCATGTCGATATAGGTCAGCTCATCAATACCACTGGGTTGTTTTTCATCACCGCCCCACTAAATATTTCCCCTGGAGATCAGCTAATGTTACTTTTAATGTTTTAAACAGGGTATAAAACAAAAGAGAAAAGTAGTTCACTTTGTGCAGCCCCTGACCACGACCCAAATAGACTGATAAAGAGGGGGTCCATGGGAAACTAATTATGATCAAGACTAGAGGGCCAATGTATCCCAGTACCCTAGTAAACTCATTCTGTGTGTGTTTGCTTGTGAGTGTGTGAAGAGGTTAATGGGGCTGTAGCCAATTTGCTGCTGATGCTCCCTCCCTGAATGGGATGCTGTCTTCTTGGGCAGATGCGGTGCAGCAGGGCATCTTAACCCTTACTCTGTCTTTGACCTGTTTCTGATGTGTGACCCAGAAACAGCTGGTCTGTAGTGATTACACAGGTACATACTTTATTCCTGAAGTTTGAGTTACACATAAGAAATGTTTAAGAAAATTTTCTACATTTTCAAACTCTACCAGGCATAATAATCTCTTGGATATCAGCTTTGAAGTGACAGATATGGAGTCTCTAACAGCCATTTCCAAATCCAGTGTTGCAGACACATCCAGGCCAGGCTCTGTTTTGCGTGCATATAGTGAATATGATTACAGCACAAAAGGTCAAGTCAATTATTTCAAAACGCAGAGATTTTTTTCTTTCAAATGAGCCTGTGACAGTTATAGTCCTCATTTTACCTTGAAACCAAATGCGGAGAGAAAAGATGCCCTCCAATGAATGATTAGAGAAAAGTAAAATCAAGCATTGGTTGAAGAAGTTACCACAGGCATTAAATCATAAGATCAAAACATGAGTGAACACATTTACTCTTCATCTGTTACAATTTCCAAATCCATAGTTTATAATGTCGTATTTCATCCGATTCCAAAGGCTGTTTAGGGACTCTGGAGCATTATTTAGCCCCTTCCTAACAAGATTGCCTGACACACTTTGTACTAATAGATCTCTCAGGTCGTCTAGTTTCATACGATAGCAGTATCTTCACTCCAACTTTAAAACTGAGCCCACCACAGCAGGTTTTACTTGCTAGTCTGCTTAGCTCCTCGCCTTTGCCACATCTAGCTTCTGTCTGTCATGCCTGGTGCAACTGAGCCCGGATCCCACTATTTATCAGGGAGGTATACCATGACAAGTTAGAATGTGTGTAAATGCATGTATTTATCATGTAAATACATATAACTTGGATTGTTAGTGTTATAAGTCAGTTATTAAATTGTTGCTAGGGTCAAACGTTGACCTTTGCATGGGCCCCCCTTGGGCCTTGGGCGGGGGTCATCTGTACCCTTTGACCCCCCCCGACAATGGGCCTGTACTCAACATACATTCATTTACCACTTCAGGCACAGGTAAATCACAGGTTATGCTTTGGTTTATATTAGAATCATATTTCAGTCCAGGTTTCGATTGAAAAACGTTGTGCTGGAATTGATTGCATTTCATCAGTTTTGTTAGTTAAGAGGGGGTTTGGTTTTCTGCATGGATTTCCTGTTTTGATAACCTCCCACCTATCTCTTATTAAAGTTTCACATCTTCCATGTGTTTCCTTTTTTCCTGCATTTTTACCTGATGTCCCCAGCATGACAGCTATCTGCTATATTCACACTGATTGGTCAATATACAGTGCAAGCTGCGCCGTCTGACATCAGCACTGAACTCTATCTGGCATTTTCCCTCCAGCACACTTTTGTATCGGCTTGAACTTTGAAATGTTAATCGTTTTTGCCATTTTCCGATATTATTGACCCTGGCATTATTATCATGGTGAAGAAGTCCACACCAAAGAGATAGAGTGATCGCTGTAGTGTGTGTGTGTGTGTGTGTGTGTGTGTGTGTGTGCGCGCATGTGTGTGCCTGCAGGCAGCATTCTGCTCATTAGACCCTCTCTGGCTTGCTTGTTTCTCAGACTTTGCTGCTCTCTTTTTCTCCTTCATCTTAACCCTAAAACACCCATTCTTAATAAGGATAGGAGACGGATGCAACAGTCTCCCTCGCTCTGTCTCTGTCTTCTGTTTCTATTTTGTCTTTTTCTTTCTTCTGCTGTCTCTCATTTTCTTCTCACTCTGTATTTCTGTTACAACCCTCTACACACACACACACACACACACACACACACACGCACACCGCCTCCTCACCGCGACACTTTCCATCCTTTCCAAGCTTGTCTGTCTCCAGCAGCTCCAGAGCTGGCTGTTTTCTGCGGAGTTGAGTGCACCCCAGGGTGCAGCCGGAGAGCAGAACAATGCAGAACAGCTTGTCATTTGGAGCGTCGCGCATCCCAGCTTTTAATGATTTTCACTTTGGCCTGTTCAGAAGGCTGCAGTCGCTACCTGATTGCACCACATACTTCAAGTTTTACAAGCAATGCATTTGTAGAGCAACTGAGCTCGAGACTAGTTCACATACTTTTGTTTGCATACCTTTGTACATCACAAGTACACTACTTAACAATTAGTTTGCAAGTTCTTTCTGGTTTTCAGCTGCAGTCATGATTGCTGTCAACACAGCACATTTTCACACATTGTCATGAAGTTAGGGCTGCAACAAACATTTTCATTGCCTAATCATCTAAGTTCATAACAAATACTCATTATATTTCTCAGAGTCCAAAGTGACTTATTCAGCTTGTTTTATTCAATCTGCAGTCCAATACCAAACGATCCTCAATTTGCTATCATGTATGACAAAGAAAAGCATCAAATCCTCACAGTTCATTGTCTCAACACTGAAAATGTTTGGCATTTTTACTTCTGTCCTGTGCTCCATTTAAGAGTTGATAACGAAACTGGTCTTAAGACATTTTTTCTGACAGTTTAGTACCTCTTTAGGTGAGAATTCTTTTAAGCTTTGCTCCAGCTCTGTTCTCAGGTGTGATGGAAAGGAATCTGTGTACTTCACAGACTTCCACATCCTGTCTGTATAATGGGAACAAGTTAAAGAGATACCCCACCAAAACTCTTCTGGGTACCACCACCCACTCATCCCCTGTAAGATGGGAAGACATCAATCAAAGTTGTCAGTTTTGTCCTTCAAAAGAACAATTACAGCTACATCAGCCCACTGGGTGACAGGTTTTCTCAGAAAATAAGTATCCAAACATCCGAAGAAACTTCTTGAAACACGTTCATGCAGCATAACCCACTCCTTCTCTATCCATCTGTATGTTCACTGTGTTCCAAGTTGAAGGGTATTTCTGGCAAGATATAGATAAATACTATGCTTAAATTGGTTGCGAACGATTAACATGACTGATTAATTAAATCATTAATTACATATACACTAACACAGACTGTAACTCCATGCATCTCCCTCTCACTTTTTTCTGTCTGTTCATTTCATCTTTTGCATCTCCCTCAATGTGTCTCTCTCTCTCTTCCACCTCTGTCACTGTGCTGTCTCCTCCTCCTGTCTCAGTAGGAACATTTTACATCCCATTTTGAATCACTGATGAAAGCAACAGACCTGTCACTTTCGATTCCATAGGGAAAGAAGCTTTCACTGAAGCTATAAATTAGCTCCCAGAATCATGTGTGTTCATGCAGGCATAGAATGTGGTACACACATGCACAGTAAGTAATCATCTGTCAGTTATAGATCAGCGACTTTGTTCTGTGTGCGTTCATAATTGTGAGTTTTTATCCTCTACCTGTGGCTCCTAACAAGTCTTATCATACACGACTGCACTGTATCTGGTTGAGACACACTTGGTGTCTTTTTGTGTGTGATTCAGTCTCTGTGTGTACTGTACAGGGTGCACTAGCTAACAAATTGAATGGAAGACCAAACATTTCTATTTGCAGTTCTGTCCCGCTGGGTTCTTGTTGCTGTGAAGAATTGGTTGTTGTGTTCTACTTAAAAAAAAAACAAAAAACAAAAACACAACATTATGTGTGTTTAACCATCTGTCACTTCAGCTAAAATGTGACTTAATGTAAATGTTCTGCTCCATCGCTGGAGATGTTAATTTACAGAGCAGTCTCAATATACAGGATGGGGAATTGTTAATAATACCATCCGAAGTAGCATTTATTTCTTCTGTTAAATTCTCTCCATAATTTTTAAACCAAATCTCTTATGCTGATGTTCAGTATTCTGTCTTCTTCAGAAGAAACTGTGACAGTTATCCAGAAAAAGATGAGAGATTGGTTAGTTTTATTCAGAAATGACTTACCGGACCAAACATAAAAAGATTTTTTTGATATGTTAATAGATGTTGGATGACAATTTGACATGACATTGTTTTGTAGCATGGCATAAGGAATCTGTTTTTTTTCTAAACCCCACACTTGTCCTACTGTCCTAAACAATAAGCAACTTCTCTGGTGGGTAAACTATGATGATGTCACTGTTTTTGAAACAACTCAAAAAAGGGTGATATTCACGGAATATCCCCTTGGGAGGAGACATCAGTGCACACCTAGAAAATACTGCACATGCCATCTGGTCTGGAAAGTCGATGGGCATTCTGTCTGTATGACATGGTCAAAGTTTATAAAGGTTTGAAACCCAAAGGAGCCTTAAGGGCAAATTGTTTCTTGTTTTCTGGGTGAGGGGTTTAATTTGACAAAAAAACAACTTCCCGTAGATAGAGAAATGACTCTTTTGTTTACTTCAGTGAAATGGGTAGAATGTCCCCATGAGACTGAAAATAGCAGATGTGCTTGACTTCGGTTCCATGGTGTAATGGTCAGCACTCTGTACTCAGAATCCAGTAATCCAAGCTCAAGTCTTGGTTGAACCTTTTGTGTGAATTGTGTCCAGTCGTTCAAAAGCATCCCAAAGCTGAATTAGGCAGTGGGGCCGTAGAAAAAGGCAAAGCCAAACATACAGCTTGAAGACTGCTTTCAAGCCAACAAAGTGCCACGAAGTGAAGAGGTCTTTCGATGAGCAAAAATTGCAGAAAAATTTTCTTGCGTGGCTCGTTGGTCTCAGGTTATGATTCTCACTTAGGATCCGAGAGGTCCTGAGTTCAACTACTGGATGAGCCCGCACGGTTTCAGAAGTGGCTGTGTATTTTGGGTCATGTGGTATGTTTGTCCAGTGTGATGTTGTAGGTGTAATGCCTTATGATTTTACTGACAAGATCAAGTCTTGCCGGAATCTTTTGTGTGAAATGTGTTCTATCGTCCAATAGTATCACAAAGCTGAATTCAGCAGTGGAGCCATAGATAGAGACGGAGCCAAGTATGCAGCTTGAGGATTGCTTTCAATTCAGTGACAGACTGGGGCTGTATGTCCTTCAGCAAAATCTGCAGAAAAGATGCTTTGTGTGGCTCGTTGGTCTAGGTGTATGATTCTCGCTTCGGGTGCGATAGATCCCAGGTTCAAATCCCGGACGAACTCCAAGTCTCTAAATGTTACTTGTTTTCTGGGTAAGTCCACTAAAGAACCAACGTTACATAGAGAAATGTCTCTTTTATTGACTTCAGTGCAAAGGGTAGCATGTGTTCATGAGACTGTCAATAGCATGCATGCTTGACCTGGGTTGCATGATGTAATGGTCAACACTCTGGACTCTGAATCCAGTAATCCAACTTCAAGTTTTGGTGGAACCTAGACAATGTTGCTCACACACCATTTAGAGTTGTGGTTACAATGCAGTAAAGACACTAAACTTCTCTTTTATTGTCGGACAACCAAAGACAAGGCCTTGGACCTAGCAGTCGATGGGTGTTCGATCGTAAGGCATGGCCGAACTTTTGGGTAGCGACCACAATAATGAGATCGTGGATGCACGTAAGCCATCCAAACGGCTTTCCTGCACAGGATGTCTCTATGGATAGTTGAGCAGCTCAGATATTCCAAGGAGGAAGTCTGAAAAGAACCGCTGCACCTACATGTCGTCGACACAGCGACATATCCCATTTTGCCTGGGAATGCCTCTGGATCCCAGATGAACACCTGGAGGATGCACAAGAGGAAAAAAGCATGTCGGTGACTTTTAATAAGCTTGCTTCCACTGAGACCTAACGTGGATAAGATAGGGTAGGAAAATGCGTGGGTGAATGGTTGAGTACACAGCCTAAACTGAGAAAAGGCTTGACTGAGCACCCTCCCAGGCAGTACCCTTTGTGGTTTGTTGCTCTAGGAGTATGATTCTCGCTTTGGGTGCAAGAGGTCCCAGGTTCAAATCCCAGACAAGCCCACGGTGTTTAGGGGTGGCTGTTTAGCTTTGGTAATGTGCCATGTTTATCCAGTGTGCTGTGAAACAGATATGCCTCCCGGTGTTGCAGGCGTAACTCCTTTGGGAAAGCAGATCTTCCAACCTATAGGCTGATGTGACTTGACGAAATCAAAGTCGCATGATTCAGTTTTACGCACAAACAACTTCATTAGGATGGAACAGTTGTGTTTGACTGATTTTACTGACAAATCCAAGCTCAAGTCTTGGTGGAACCTTTTGTGTGAAATGTGTCCAGTCGTTCAAAAGCATCCCAAAGCTGAATCCGGCAGTGGAGCCGTAGAAAAAGGCAAAGCCAAACATACAACTTGCAGATTGTGTTCAGGCCAAGGACAAAGTGGAGAGGTATTCCAGTGTGGGAAAATTGCAAAAAGGCTATTTTACGTGGCTCGTTGGCTTAGGGGTATGATTCTTGCTTCGGGTGCAAAAGGTCCCGGGTTCGAATCCCGGACGAGCCCCAAAGCTCTAAATGCTACTTGTTTTCTGGGTAAGCAGTTTAATTTAACAAGTTTGAAACAATGTTTCAAATCTTAAGTCAATGGTTGTATACCTAATCCTTAATTTAAAGTCCACTAAAGAACCAACTTCACATAGAGAAATGACTCTTTCATTGACTTCAGTTCAAGTTTTGGTGGAACCTAGACAATGTTGCTCACACACCATTTAGAGTTGTGGTTACAATGCAGTAAAGACGCTAAACTTCTCTTTTATTGTCGGACAACCAAAGACAAGGCCTTGGACCTAGCAGTCGATGGGTGTTCGATCGTAAGGCATGGCCGAACTTTTGGGTAGCGACCACAATAATGAGATCGTGGATGCACGTAAGCCATCCAAACGGCTTTCCTGCACAGGATGTCTCTATGGATAGTTGAGCAGCTCAGATATTCCATGGAGGAAGTCTGAAAAGAACTGCTGCACCTACATGTCGTTGTCAAAGCGACATATCCCATTTTGCCTGGGAATGCCTCTGGATCCCCGATGAACACCTGGAGGATGCACAAGAGGAGAAAAGCATGTGGGTGACTTTTAATAAGCTTGCTTCCACTGAAAGCAAGCAAGGAAAATGCGTGGATGAATGGTTGAGTACACAGCCTAAACTGAGAAAAGGCTTGACCAAGCACCCTCCCAGGCAGTACCTTTTGTGGCTCGTTGGTCTAGGAGTATGATTCTCGCTTGCCTCTCACTTCAAATCCTGGACGAGCCCACAGTGTTTAGGGGTAGCTGCGTAGCTTTGGTAATGTGCCATGTTTATCCAGTGTGATGTGAAACAGATATGCCTCCCGGTGTTGCAGGGGTAACTCCAGTGCTTAATTTGAGCCGGAACGTACTGGAACGCATACCAGGATCTTTTCAGAAAAGGCCCTTGTGCGTTCCGGAACTAATTTGTATGGGTCTAGAACTTTTCACATCTAAAAACTACATACAGTATTGGCTGATGTCACTAGTGTTGCAGGGTGGAGTACCGTAGTACTACGGTGCCTCACGTACCACTACTGAAGGATAAGTTCAAAATCCAATCGCAAGAGTGTGAGTGTCCATGCGCCGTCCACCCGTCGCTTAGGGTGCGAGAGGTCCCGGGTTCAACTCCTGGACGAGCCTGCAGAGTTACAGAAGTGGCTGCATAGTTTGTGTTATATGTATGTTTATCCAGTATGATGTATCCAGTGTGCTCCCTGATTCTTGCTTAGAAGGGCAGAGGTCCCGGGTTATCGTGTCATATCGAATTTCCAATTTGTGTTAAAGTTTGAAAAGTTTCAAATTAATTCTAAGGGTAAAGTTTTTTGCATTTGTGTTTATATCATTCTCTCCACCTGATGTAACTTTTCCACTATTAAGTAACTGTCATAAAACACTTGTGTTGAAACTGTTCTCCTTTTAGTGCTTGTATCTGATTCTTTTCTTTCTGTTTTATGCCTGCAGCTAGCAGATAACTTCAGTGATACTAACTACAGTTTCTTGCTTTCTGTTCACAGATATTTAGAAGAGCTGACAAAGATGGTGAGTGAATTCAATGATTCTCCCAATTCATTCATATAATGTATTTGTTCAACATTATCTGTTACAGAACTTTGTAAGATTTGCGGTTTAATGTAATTTAAAAATGATAAAAACACTGAATAGAGCATCAATGGATATCCATTGATGTCCTATTATTAAAATCCTTTTACCATGTCAGCTTAATTGACCTATGGCTAAGTCCCACCTTCAAACGCGATGAGTCAGTCACAGTGTGTATAGCCATTCCCATACACTCGGACATTCTCTGCCTGGACGTTCATTGAAATGCATTACAGAAAGTCAGTTTTGTTCAGTTTTATGAGCTTTTTCTGAGATTTGAAGTTTAAAAATGGTCAAACGGTGTGCATGGGGTACATGCAACTCCGACACAAGGTATCCTGAGAGGCTGGGTGACGAGGTGTATTTTTTACACTTTAAACCACATCTCAATCGAGAAAAGTGTCTCCTTTGGATAAAGTTGTGTGGTAACGTTAGACCACAACATCAACTCAACGTGAATAAGATTAACAAAGATGTCTACATCTGTTCTAAGGTAAGACAACATCGTGTTTGAGGCAACATAGTAAAGTTATCCAGGCTCCGACGTTAAGGTTTTTTCCTACTTGCCCTGCCGGGCAAGTACTTCTCAAATCTACTTGCCCCATCTAAATTCTTACTTGCCCTGCTTAAGAGGTTCTTTTTCTGGCTGTGTGGTGCATATTTTCGCTCATGACTTATATCTTACGTCAGCAGAGACGCTCAGCCAATGGAGGCAGCAGCACATAAAAAAGCAGCACACTGCAACTGGCCTCTCCGAGGACAGAAACAGGAGAGGAAATACACGATTGCAGGCCTGGAATTAAGTCATTTTTAGGGCAAGGCCACTTTGGCCTTTGATAAATACAAATTTATAGGGGCATCACGGCCAAAATATGGGGCACCAAGGCCAAAACCAATGGCGCAATAACAATATGTACTAACTACATTGAATCAAGACAAAACAATATATGTGTTGAAAAACAGTACTGAGTTTATTAAAACTGGGTGTGTATGACTGGGGATATATCTCGTTTCTTGTTGTTTTGATTCATGTCCCTTATTTTTTAAGTCTTTGAAATCTCTTTATTCTGTTGTTATCTCCTAGTTATTAAGAAATTATTATTAGAAGAAGATTCATTGTTGTCCTTTCTCAGCACATTACATACATTTGACCTCTGCATTTGACCCATCCTACTGTAACACTAGGAGCAGTGGGCAGCCATAGTGCAGCGTCCGGGGACCAACTCCAGTTCTTTTGCCAATGCCAGTGGTCAGGGTCACTGACAGGAGTATTCACCTAACATAGCCTACATATCTTTAATTATATAATCATTTATATATGTCTCTATGTATATTTTTACATAGATCCCCAATATTTTATTTGCCTTTAAAAAAATCCTCTTCCTTCATTTAATTTGACAGTGTTTATTGTATTGTATTATATGTATTAATTCTCTACAGGATCTTCAATTCTTCAGGTTCTTTAATGTGTGTTCAATTTATTAAAAGAAAAAAACAAAAAACGTTTTGGTGAACCCTGCAGCAAAGTGAACCCTCTTCCTCAGAGAGGATCTTTGCCTCCCAGTTTGTTCCTGGCGACAGAGCAGAGTGAACCGTCTTCCTTCTCAGAGGATCTTTGTCCCATGAGAGCAGGCAGCATGCTGTTCTTATCTATCGCTCTGTTCTCCGTGTCCGCATTTAAAACATCTTTTGCTGGTGATTTGACAGTCACTAGAAGCACATTATGACCCTTTGTAAAAGTTTCTGTGTGGTATCTGTGTTCTACATGAGCTAACGTTAGCGGGTAAGGACTGAGAGGCTGTCCGGTATGTGTGTGTGTCTGAGTCGGTGCTGCTTGCCCGATGGGGCATGTCTGCGCAGGGTCTGCTGGCCCGCCAGCTATTTTTACTTGCCCCGGGCATTCGGGCAACCGTTAATGTTGGACCCTGTTATCTCTAGCCAACATTAGCTAAAGTTAGCCTAACCTTAGCCCCTAGCTGCGTTGTTCATCATGTCACCTTGTTTGCTGGGAGTTCATTAGCCTATTTTGTTCTAGTTTTGTACTTTGGTGATCGTACATCATTGTTACATGTTGTCCAAAGGGCTCTAGTTAAGCTAACGTTAACTTCTGGAGCTTAGCTTCATTAATTGATCCGTAATCGCAGAGATAACAAAGGTTGGCAAATGTTATGCTGAATGATTCAGTGTAAATACTGTAGCACCAAACTAACTGAGAGACACTCTTGGTAAAGATGGTAAAAAGGCCGTTATCCTTTTCTCATATTCTGAGCCAAAAACCTTAACTTCAGTGGAACTTTAACTTGTTGTCTTTGATGGCGACGGCAACGAGATGCGATTCACAAGCGTATACTGTGACCTGTAAATTTTGGCTTGTAATTTAAGCTTTTCATCGACCTTCTCAACAATAAAATGATGAATATATCCCTACAATGCATAGTTTAGGCCATTTTGGTTACTTCTCAATGACATCTGATCGTTATGTCTCCAAAAATCATCAATTGCCTCCTGCGAAATGCCGTGTACTGTGACACCTGCCATAGCGCCGGTCACTGAATGCTGATAGTTTGTCCAGTGAGTGGAGGGGGCGTGGCTTAGCCATAGGTCAGTTGTGCAGAAACCAAAAACATCTTTTTAAAACACTCTTTTTTAAGGGTTTCTCAACATTAAACAGTTACCTAGTGATTGTCCATCCCTTGTCTATTTTGATGAAGACCCAGATGCAAACCATAACTTCTAAATTCTTTATAGAGCTATCTTACTGGTGACAGTTTTTGCTATTCACACACAGATGTCACTGATTACATTAATAATGATCTGCCAGTATGGTATTCCAGGGCCCAAGTATTGTGCATACTTTCTATCTGGTATTAATGGAGTGACCAATGTTCTTTTTTTAGCAGTGACAAGTCAAAATATCTTTATGCTTTAAGATAGGTTTTTCAGTAAAATAACAAACCTGGAGGTTTTCTCAGCCTTGGTAGAGGTATACATGCTCTGTGGATGTTCAGTTCTAATTCAGGACTGTTTTTATACAGTTTGCATCTGCAGTTTTGCTACCAGAGGCAAAAATTCACAAGTAAACAACCTGTTCCTGAACTATTTGGCCTTGTTGGGTAGGTTTTCAGACAGATGATTGTGTTTCAATATAGACATGAGATTTATTGTCTCTGAAGCCTTTTGTTCAGTGGGAAACAACTGAGTATGAAGTTCTGTCTGCCTGATGTCTGAGCTGCTTCTGCTGCGGCGTGCTGTATTTTTAGCATGTTGGGACATTAAAGTGTTTTCAAAAGGGTAAAGTTTATATTACAGTGTAGCTGTGCCAGTGAGCAGTTTGTTTATACCCTCTGGCATCGCATGTACTGCTACTTTTTCTCTCTCTATCACTTTATCGTCTCCACATTCTCTTGCTCTTCTCCCTTTACATCTCCTCCTGCTCTAGCCATCTTTCCTCTTTTTTATCCTTTCCCTCTTCCCCTCTTTTATCCTTTCACTGTGTCGTTGACTAAAAAGAATTCAACTAATGAGGAAAACGCATAAAAGGCTGCGCTTTCATTGGAGCCAGATGGCCATTTGCTCTTCCAGTGTGTGCGCATGTGTGTGTGTGTGTGTGTGTGTGTGTGTGTGTGTGTGTGTGTGTGTGTGTGTGCGCGCGGAGGGGGTTTCTCTGCAAATCCAAACTGATTACTTCTTTGCCTCCTCTCCAGCAGAGCTACATTCCCAAAACGTACCTCTGTAAAGAAGATATCTGTTCACTTTAATGTGTGGTACCATGGCAGTTTATTTAGTCATTGCTTAGTCATCTGTCTGACCTGTGTTTCAGTAGTGTTGTGTGTGTGTGTGTGTGTGTGTGTGTGTGTGTGGATACACACTGCACAAATCCATTTATCAACTAAATTAGAAGACTAGTGAACATAAACAATTTTTACAGATGATTTAACTTTTGACATCATTGCTGTAGATGACATTTTTATCTCGCCCGGGGTTATTCTGAGAGATGAGTGCGCCTTTACAACAGACTGTGGCATCAGCTGTCAACATTTTAAATGCTTGCACTACCTAATTACCAACTGCTCAGATACCGAACGTCAGTTAAGACACAACAGGATTTATATTTTCTTTTCCTGCCGATCTTATCCTGAACACAGACCAGTTGTATCAACGATAAAGCAGCTCGTTCTCCATCACAAACAAGCTGTAGGATTGTGTGCAAGTTTATGATAACAGTCTCTTGGGGTGTTTCACAAACTCCATCGCTGCTAGAAACACACAGCTGCAAACTGTCTTAAAAGAGGCAGGTTTGAGTGTGGTTGGGTGGGGAGCATCAGAGCGAGAGTAAGGAGAGACTGAGAGGCAGTGAGGAACAAAAAGAGAAGAAGAAGAAACGACGGTTATTATGAAGGAACGTAGTTATTTGATGTATGGAACACAGGCTGGAAAGAAAGAACCAGTGAGCAGGAGCTGAAGAAGAGCTATTTTTATCATCCTCCCCTCTCCTGGGAGAAGACCGGGGAACTGTTTTAATGAGTGAGAGAGGGAGAAGGGAGATGTTAACAGGAAGAGGAGAGAATTGTTTAAAAGAAAAGAAGGTACAGGGAGGGAGAGATTGACAGAAGGAGAGGCAGGAGGTGGCAGAGTCTAAAAAGGAGAGGAGGCTAACAGAGAAAAAGAGAAAGAAGAGCGGGGTGAGGAGAGGAAGAGGAGCAAGGTTATAAGAGAGAGTATCATATATCTGACAACGGGTCAGTAATTGAGCTTTAATTGGCCGAGTTCTGTCTTTACATTCATAACACAGAGTTCAGGGCTGGCCTTCCTGCCCTCAAGCTGCTGAAACAGCAAGCCAGGGAGGGTGTGTGTGCATTAGTGTGTGTGCATTATGCATCCATGTCTACCTCAAATACAAGTTACATGCATCGGTTAGCATTTTTTGTGTGTGCCAAAGT